CTTATGTTCCCTTGACCGTGAGATTAGTCAAGGTGTGTTAAAGTTGGCTTGGACACTTATGGGTACAAAAAGAAATTGTGACTTATGAAGGTTTGGTTGATCTTTTACTTTCATCAACTATGTTCCTTTGTTTATAGGTTTTTCATTCGCAAAATTTTGTTTTAGAAAATGAGTTTCTTGTGTTAATCCAATCATGACATGCGTGAGACACTTCTCTCAAGTCATAAAAATTAAGTTTCAGTTCATCTTACCACTTTCATATTCAGTTTACTATTGTTGAATGTATAATTTTTTTTAGTAGGAAATTACTTAGAATATGTAGAACTTGTTGGTATCTGCCGAACTATTTGCTTAAGACTCGTATTTGCTGTTGTGAATATACTATGGTTTCTGGCAGATAGAAGGGGATGTTTTGGCGATTAAGAAAGCACTTCTTGCTGTATCTCGCTGTCTTCAAGACTGTCCTCCAAGTGACCAGATGAGAACATTTGCAAGTAGACCTTCAGAAGCAGTCATCCATGAGACTTTACCTGATCTGCATATGGATCATATTTTGCAGCGGAATTCAATTCCACCCATCTTTCCAAGCAGTTCAAGCATTTTTGCTTCAGGAATCCATTCATTCTCTCTAGATGCTGATGTTCTATCCCCAGGAGACATGAACATTTCGCAGCAGGAAGTTGTTTTTAAGATTCTTTGTGCCAGCGATAGGATTGGGGGTGTGATTGGCAAGGGTGGTACAATTATTAGAGCTCTACAGAATGAATCCGGTGCTACTGTAAGTGTTGGACCATCAGTAGTTGGTTGTGATGAAAGACTGATTAGTATTACTGCTTCTGAGGTGTGACATTCTTTTGTAGTCATTTATCCATCAGCAATTCCTTGTTACATCTGCAATCCTTTGTTACTATTATGTACCAACTCTAATCTTTTTATTGTTTCAACTTGGGAAGAACATTGAATCGCGATACTCGCCAGCACAAAAGGCTGTTGTTCTTGTTTTCTCTAGGTCTGTAGATGTGGCAATTGAGAAGGGGCAAGACATGAGCTCAGGTAAGGGATCGCCTGTTGTGGCACGGCTTGTTGTTCCATCGAATCAAGTTGGCTGTGTGTTGGGAAAAGGAGGTGTTATAATCTCTGAGATCAGGAAGGTTACAGGTACAAACATAAGAATAATATCGAGTGAGCAGGTCCCGAAGTGTGCTGCAGAGAATGATGAAATAGTGCAGGTGAGAATGAAATACACTTCGTTTTTGCTGGCGCTAAATAGTTATTCCTTCACTACCCCTACTTTCTTTGAACTTTGCACCCAGCCTCCCCTCCCAGGCGGCCCATGTTCAAATCCTCTGCGTTTATATAAGATATATTTTCCTTCTTGATTAAATAGTTTTCAGATAAGCTTGTGACTAACACGGGCTTTCCCGCATCCTTTGTTGGTATCCCCAACCACCCATTTACATGCGTTAATAATGGATCGAAGGCGATGCTAAATTTTGCAATGAATCTTGATGTTGTGCCCTTTATTTAGCTATTACATATTTTCCTTCTGACAGATTTCAGGAGAGTTTTCAAATGTCCAAGATGCTTTGTACAACGTAACTGGTCGACTGCGGGATAACCTTTTTTCTAGTGCGCTGAGTAATTCTGGAACAAGGAATGGCGCTGATACCTCTATTTATCATGAGACCAGCCCATATGGAAGAGTAAGGGACCCCGCACCTCTAGTTCGGACAACTCCAGTTTCCACTTCTCATGGTAGTTTTATGCAACATACTACGGCTCAAAATACAGATGACTTGGGTCTTTCTCATAGTTTAGACAGTCCATCATCGCCTGGGTTTTGGGCATCGCAGGTAGATTCTCCTTACCACACCCCCCCTCCGAAAGGGATGAAAAAAGGGTTAGCCTTTGCCAATTCCAATTCTCTGTTCTTCTTTGTACATGATTGCAGTCTTTATCTGGAGTAAGTTCTAGGGACATGTCAGATGCTGGAAGAGGTTTGCCGTCTCATAGGGGCGGAGTACAACATGGCAGGTCGGTAACACACATTCTGACAGTTTGAATATCTTTGAAATTTTAAAATATGGGCACTGGATCATCTTGTTGCTGCATGTTCTCTTGGCATCCTTAATTTACCACGAACATGGGAATGCGGAAAGGCGAGAATCATCAAATTATATTTTAACGCTTACTGGATTTCTTTGGATTCTGTCTAGCTTGCGTCTAACTGGCATAGGAGTAGCATTCTGATGTTGCTTCCCAAAATTTCAAATAATCATTTCAAGACTTCTAACTTTTTCATTCATGTTGGCAGTGGGAGCAAAACTGCTGTAGTGACAAACACGATGGTCGAAATTGTAGTTCCTGGCGATGTTATCAGCTTGGTGTATGGAGAGAATGGCACAAATTTAGCTCGTCTAAGACAGGTAAAGACAATGTTTCAAGTGTGAGTTTCATAATAGAATGACGAACTCCACTAATCTTGGTTATGGTTCTTTTAAGTTACCTAAAATAGAGTCAGGTGTGTATACTTAATAGAGATCCTGTTGAACAACATTTAGAGATGGGCAACATAAATGCATTTGGAGCTAACAACCTTAATTAGGAAGTGATAAGAATTCGTTAAACCACAACTGTAATTAGAAACGAGAAAATGTATTGATTAAGAATGATGCGGGTCGGGTCCATGGAATAAAATGGTACATCATTTATGTGCCGTCTGGAAGTCTATTTGTTTGTTTTTTTTTATTTTCTTTGGGAGTTGAATTACAAGTCTAGTTCATAAATTTTGACGATGATGTCTGCTTAGTATATAAACTTTTAATAGTGGTCTCAAAAATTTAAATTGCGATTTTATGCTGATTATGTTGTGAATTACATGATGATGTGACATGTCTATTCGATAAATATCGACTAATTTAGCTGAATATAGTAGCAGAAAGAGTTAGACTTAATGAAGTAGCACGTCCAAATACACGTAACTATCCAAGAAATGAAAGACCCTTTACGTGTGCCTTTCTCGGATCGTCTTTTTTTCCTTTTGTATTTCTATTGTATTCTACAAACCATTTGTATGATGTAAGCTACTGCAGAATGTTGGTTCGTATATGAATGAATGATTAAACACATTCACTCCACTGCTGTCATTTTGTAGAACTGATTTATGGTTAAATATCTATCTATGGTTTCCCTCTGGTTTGATCAGATATCTGGGGCAAAGGTGACGGTGCACGAACCCGATCCCATAACGAGTGATCGGCTTATCGTGATATCTGGAGCACCTGATGAAACCCAGGCAGCACAAAGCCTCCTCCACGCATTCATTCTCACTGGATCCTCGTGACAAAATTTTATGCATAGCAGGTTTTTGAATCCCTCCCTCCCTGAAAATGTTGTACACTTAAAATTCAACTCAGGGCGAGAAGTTTATTGCAATCGTGTTAGTTTAATTTGTTTCCTGCAGCAGGCTACACGCCAAATTATAAATAGATAACCCTCTGATGCCCTCCCTTGAAAAAAAAAAAAAAACAAAAACAAAAACAAAAAGAAGACAAAGTTGTTCATCACTTGATGATCTTAACGAATTCTTTGTGATCGACTTTCCAAAGGGAAAAAAATGTAAGTAAAAATAAAAAAAAAACCCTTTTGGTCCATGAATAGGGATGTTCGTACAGTCGGAATGGGGAAGCCTTCCCCGTTCTCATCCCCTCTACCTATTTCATTTCGATCTTTGCAAAATTTTCTTTTTTTCTTTGTGGGGATCGGGACAGGATTCTCTGTAGTGAATTGACGGGATCGGGTTCTCAGTTAGGAATTTCTCCCCATTTGTTATTCTTTTGAAAACGTAGTTCTTTTAGTGTGGACGTTTTATTTTTCAAGTACTTAAATATTAATTATTGGTTGGTGTTGATTCACTTATGTTATTAAAAATAACATAAATTTTATTAATTCACTCTTGTTATTTTAATAGGAGTTAAGAGTAAATTATTATTTGGGATAAAATCATTTTAATAAAATATAAATTTAATGTATGTTTAAATTGTTAGGACAAAATTGGATGACATAATTTTTAGTATAAGAAAAACAATTATTAGTTTTTTTTTCCTAATAATTTAAGAGTGGATGCAGATATAAAAACTAATTCAAATATTAGAAACATATTATAAGTGATAAAAACTAATTCAAATATCATAAACATATTATAAATGAAAGTAATACATAACGAGAATTCTTGGAATTCCTTGGGGATTTTTGATTGGTGCTGAACTAACTATAGTGCAAAGTCGTATCTCTTTGGTTAATAAGATCCAAAAGGTTTATCGATCCCAGGGGGTGGAGATCCATAATAGACATATCGAAATTATTGTACGTCAAATAACATCAAAAGTGTTGGTTTCAGAAGATGGAATGTCTAATGTTTTTTCACCTGGAGAACTCATTGGATTGTTGCGAGCGGAACGAACAGGGCGTGCTTTGGAAGAAGCGATCTGTTACCGAGCCGTATTATTGGGAATAACAAAAGCATCTCTAAATACTCAAAGTTTCATATCGGAAGCAAGTTTTCAAGAAACTGCTCGAGTTTTAGCAAAAGCCGCCCTCCGAAGTCGTAAATTTGATAGAAATTTGAAAAAGGTGGAGATAGGATATATTCAAAAAGATATGTATGAATGAAAAAGATTTTTATGTTATTTTGAGAGTAAGAAGATATGTATGATTGTGTTCTATGCGTTGAATTTAGAGAAATATTAGCAAGAAAAAGGCATATGTTGATATGAATGCTTCCACCACCATTGGATCTGCAAGTAAGATCAAGATGAAGCAACCCTTTGTTGCAGCACCTTCTTCCCCATTTCTGCTTTTCGTCGTCTCGCCGGCGCTGTTTCGCCGCCGGTTTTTCTATCATTCCGGCGTCCTTGAAGTGAAGTGGAGTGGAGTGGAGTGGCATCAACCGTAAAAACCCCCAAATTCAAGGTCATTTTCCAGCCCATGTTATCTTCCTCCTTTTTCCATATGAAAATTTAGATTCCCAATTTTCCATATCAATCTTCGATTATCCTCTTCCTGCTGATTTTTGTTGTCCAACGCTTTTCACTTTCACTCTTCTTTCTTCTTCACCCTTCTAATATTTACTTGGATTTTCTAGGTTTTACTTTACTTGAATTTTTTGTTGCATTTTTCGGGATTGAATTTGGTCTTGGAATCGCTTGCTTTTACTTGAATTCCAGTTTCTTTTGTGTTATTGGACGGGGTTGATTAATTCCCCTTTCTTTTTGTTGAGCTATTCTGTTCGGAATTTGAAATCCAGGGCTTTGAATTGTCTGTTTCTCACACATAATTTTGCTGCTGACCTTTTCGATCGTCCGTCGTGTTTGGTCAATAAGTTTCTGGAATTTTTTGGTTCCTTGTTAAATTAGCGTGTTCTTGGCCTTCCTATGTAATTCTTGAAGAAATGCCGGACTCCAATTTCCAAGACGCGATGTACGGTTCCGCCGTCGTGAACAACGGTGGCCGGGTTTTGGATAGCATTCAGAACCGAGTTGGCGATGAAGGTGACGACATTACTGTGGGGGAAGAGTCCATGGACAATCCTCAGATGCGCTTCGAAGATTCCGGGGGAATGAACCGAGTCCAGGACATTGTTCCTTCATCGTATGTTTCCGGCTCCGATTACAACCCTTTGACTGGAAACGGTGGTGCTGACCAACTTACGCTGTCGTTCCGCGGAGAGGTTTACGCTTTTGACTCTGTATCGCCGGACAAGGTTTGGTTTTCAATTGGGTGTCGATAGTCTTCGTAAATTATGCACTAGTTGTGTAATTCTTCTTCTACTTACTGAAGATATATAGTCTTTGAAGCTGGGTTTGGGTAATTTGCGAACAATATGATGAACTTTGAACAATTTGACTCAATGCTTCGTTATGACATTCAACTTCAAGCTCATTCAAATTGGGGAGGGATTTTGTAAAGTAATATTGTTGGTTTAAAGGATTTTCTGAATTGTTAGAGTGGGTATAATTTTAAAACCCTGTTTTAGTTTCCTACAGGGACCTAATTGTGTTGTGTTGCTGTATTGTTGGAACATTTGGATGATGAATGGGAAGTTTTTTCTTTTGAAATATGATTGAAAAAGAAGAAAGGAATATGATGATAAATGAACCGATTGTGCCAGTTGAACTGAATACTGCTGTTGTCAAATTAGATGTAGGAAGGATTTTGTGCGAAGTATACATATATGCCATGCCATGCCATACTATATGAAGGAGTTTTTTTGAGGTTCGAGTACATGAATACGATCACGATAGATTTAGGAAGGATTTGGTACGAAGTATACATATATGCCATGCCATACTATATGAAGGAGTTGTTTTGAGGTTCGAGTACATGAACACGAACACGAGGGGTTTTAAGTTTTTTGTGGTTAAATTTGACAGGTGCAAGCCGTGCTTTTGCTTTTAGGTGGATATGAAATTCCTTCTGGGATTCCTGCTGTTGGAAGTGTTCCCGTCAACCAACAGGTATACGTGCACATTATTATTTTAATGGTGTATTGATTGAAACCATCTGGTGTTCTTGATTTCCTACCTCGGTTAACTTTTGTTCTAATTCTTTCAGGGTACCAATGGCTTTCCTGTCAGGTCGGTTCAACCACAAAGAGCTGCTTCATTGAGTAGGTTTAGAGAGAAGAGAAAAGAAAGGTGTTTTGAGAAGAAAATTCGTTACACCGTGCGAAAAGAAGTTGCACTCAGGTATAACTTATAAATAGATACCTGTTTATTTATTTATTAGACGGTTGAAGTTAAGTCAAGGGAGCATAGAGAGATCCCTTCCTCTCCCGCTCTCACTCAGAGATCAAGTAAAAAATTACCAAAAAGATATCATGTGAGATCCCACATTGATTGGGGAGGAGAACAAAACATTCTTTATAAGGGTGTCGAAACTTTTCCCTAGCAGACGTGTTTTAAAAATTTTGAGGGGAAGCCCGAAAGGGAAAGCCCAAAGAGAACAATATCTGCTAGCGGTGGGCTTGGGCGGTTACATATCCTTTGCCAGACCCTCTCTCCTCTCTATATTCCCTCTCTGTCAGCCTTACTAACTAATATGCTTGAGTCGTGCACAAACTATGTCATCATCCTACATGTCTCACCCTTTCCTCGTTTACCAGCATACACTTCAGTGATTGGGGCCTATCAGTATATTAAGTAGAATCAACAACTAGAAAACAGCAGGGATAGGATAGTGTGAAACAGCTATATTATGATTTTGTGGATCGTCTCTGATCTTGGTTGTGGTCAAATGGGATTTTCTAAAACATTAGTTTTTGAGGCAGGTTGCATTTCAATTTTAGATCTTCAGATGAGAAAAGGTGAAGGAAGTTTCTTGTAACAACCCAAGCCCACCGCTAAATAATATTGTCCTTTTTGGGTTTTCCGTTCTGGCTTCTCCTCAAAGTTTTAAAACGCGTCTCTTAGGGAAAAATTTCTACACTCTTGTAAATAGCGCTTTGTTCCCCTCTCCAACCAATGTAGGATCTCACAATCCACTCTCCTTAGGGGCCCAACGTTCATCGCTGGCACACTGCCCGATAACCGACTTCATGAGGCTGACGGTAATACGTAACGGGCCAAAGCGGACAATAACTGTTAGCGGTGGGCTTGGGTTGTTATTTCTAATGTGGGAAAAATGTTTTATTGATGTATCTTAGAGGTGTTATAGATGTTCGATGGGCTGCTCATAATATTTAAGTTTTTTTTACTTGAAATGAAGAAAATAAGAGCTGCTAATAGAAAGGAAATTACATATCTGAAGAAGATGGAAGTTGATTGGAATAACTTTCTTTAATCTTGTGCATATATATATATATATATATTTCTAATAACTTTCAGAAAAAGAAAGATGAATTTATAACTGTGATGATATAGTCCAAAAAGCATATCTTAGTGTACTTCGAAAGATATCTTCTAATCTATTCAATGTTGTTTCTGTTGTATGCAATTCAATGTGATATATTCGTCTCCTTCATCATCCAGAGTATATAAACTAAGTTACTTTATTGCATTATTCCATTCTTATTGTTTGTAGTGCTCAGCATTTGACAATTCAAGAATTTAAACTAGCTCTAGTCAAATGCTCAAATCATCAAAGGACAGAAAAAATCATTTTGTTCTCGAGACATGTTCTAACAACTCTTGTCTGGATTCATCAGAATGCAGCGGAAGAAGGGCCAGTTTATATCCTCTAAAGCTAATGCAGATGAAGTGGGCTCATCTTCACTTTTGTCTCAAACATTGGATCCTGGACAAGATGATGGCTTGTTGGAAACCTCGTAAGTATTGATCGATCCTCACAAGTCCCATTTTCTAACTTTGAATGACCCTGCTGGTAGTCTGAGGCTCATCAATTTGTAACCTTACGCTTGAGTTGCGAGTTGGTTTTGCATCTAACTGGAATACCAAAATTCTAGAAGGAATAGAAAAATTATCAATTCTCATTCATACTGGAACAAATTCAATGATCTGTTTTACTAATAATGTCTTTCATTATTTGTTTATGCAGATGTACACATTGTGGAACCAGTTCAAAATCTACTCCGATGATGCGTCGTGGGCCTGCTGGCCCTAGGACTCTGTGCAATGCATGTGGGCTCAAGTGGGCCAATAAGGTTTGTTAATCGAGTCCTTTAGGTGATATAACATCGTCCATGAAATCGAGTCCTTTACAGTTGTCTTGGGCTGAAGCCTGCATAATTATTTGGAGATAAGTGATGTGAGCGAAGTATGTTGTTTAACATTTCATTATCAAAGACACCTGTGCTAGGCTTGTGGGTTTGATTTAGGAGATGCTTTCAGCTGGTTGATGATGGTTTTAAGTTAGTTTTGTAGATCATTCTTGGTTTATAGATTTTCATTGGTTAGGAAGGAATACCAATAGGAACCGAACCTCGAGGCGGTTTCTTCCTTTGTGAATCTTTTCCTGTATGCCAGTAGAAAGACTTGGATGCAATCGGTTGCCCGAGATATTTAACTTCGTTCTTGACTATTGAGTTCCACCACACCACCTCTTGCCTTAAAATCTGCAGTAGATAGCCAAGTTCATAAAGTATATCTGTTTTATCCCACAACTTTTCAAATGAGCTTTTCTATTGCGATTCACAGAGATACATTAGCTGTTGTAGCAAACTAAATGTTTGACGACTTGTCAATGGCCTCGAGTTCTCATTAGTGATCTTCGAATGCAATAGGGAAATCTGCAGTAGATAGATAAGTTCATAGAGTATGTCTGTTTTTTACCACAACTTTCGAGTGAGCTTTTCGATTGCGGTTCACAGAGATATATTAGCTGTTGTAACAAACTAAATGTTCGACGACTTATCAATGGCCTCGAGTTCTCATTAGTGAACTCTGAATGCAATAGGGAAACCTGCAGTAAATAGTTAATTCCATAGGTGTATGTCTGTTTTTTCCCACAACTTTTCGTTTGCGATTCACCGAGATATATTACCTGTTGTAGCAAACTAAATGTTCGATGACTTGTCAATGGCCTCGAGTTCTAATTAGTGAACTTTGAATGGAATAGGGAATTTTGAGGGATCTTTCCAAGGTTTCGAACTCGGGCGTTCAAGAACTCTCCGTGAAGGATACCGAACAGGTAGACATTTAAACAGAGTTAAGAAAGACTCAATAGTTAAATAATATCATACTTCCATACATTTTAATACTGTTTTGGTGTCTGTTATTGCTATCCATCTTTTCCTATATCAGAGCGATGGCGAAGCTAATGAATCCGACGCTGCAGTTAGCTAATGTGGATATTCTCGCTTCTAATGGCGATAATTAGGCCATAAACCACAAAAATTGATCAACTAACTCTCTGATAAGTTCGTGCTGTGGTTGAAGTTGGATCATTTGAGTATTCCAACAAATTATATGGAAATTCATGCTATGCTCTGTGCAGTTTAGAGAGTATAAGAAATAAGCAATGGTAGAATGGGTTCCCCATTTGTCACCAATCATGTAGCTGAAAATAGATGGGATTCAGAAGGTGGGTTTCAATGGCGGCCTTTTGGTCGAAGTATCAAAGAACAAAAGCTCTGATCAAAGGGCTGGTGAGGTGAGTTGCTGCCTCCACTTTAGGATATGATCTTATTCTTGTTCTACAATGTTTGGTTAAGATTTGTGCAATCTTTTCCCCATGTAAATGGGCAGTTAAGTGCTTCAGATCACATTTTTTTTAGCTTATTTATGGCTTAGAAGTGAAGGTAAATAATTTGTAGTGTAATTTCTGGCCTCTTTGTTACTTTGTATTTAAGGGAATTTTGTGTTGTGTTTTGATTTTGTGAAATTTTGAAAATTATAGTATTATGATCGAGTGATCAAGTTATGGTAGAGAGTAAAGTTCTGTTGAGTATAGAGCTTTGTTGGAGTTTCGGTATCTGCATCTTTAAATCTCCACCGAGTTTAGATCATGTTTTAAAGAAAAGTAAGCGTTTAAAATTTAAGAGATACTAGAATGATTCATTCTAACTTATGAGATCCTATATCGATTGGAGAGGGGAACGAGTGCCAATAAGATGCTGGGCTCCAAAAGAAGGTAGATTGTGAGATTGCATGTGAGTTGGTGAGGAGAACAATGGAGAGGAGAACGAAACATTATTTATAAGGGTGTGAAAACCTTGAGCAAAAACTCGAAAATGAAAGCCTAAAGAGGACAATATTCCCCGACATGGTGGAGGTTTTGTAGTGCGTCATGAGCATCGGGCTAAGGGGCGATCGAGCTACTCAAGCGAACCGCTCTATCTTACTACAACATAGGGACAGAAGGGAGAAGGTTGTGAAGGTGGCCTTGTTATCCACACCTCTAGTTGGATGAATGGAGGACCGACCTGAATTTTCATGAACGTTGGCAAGTCCTGGAGTGCTTGCTAGCGGTGGGGCCTAAGTTACATAACTTGTTTATCTCTTCTACCATTAATTTTTTTTTTAGAAGAATAACTCAGTAACACAACTCAACCCAACATGATCGCCCTAAATAATAGGACATATGTCTTCTAATTTTACGCTTTTCTATTTTAAATTAGATTTCTTTTTTCAAAGTATCTTTTTAGTGGATCGTCACATACGATCGCCATAGAATCTACTCGGGCAATCGATCTCCACAAATTTTCCGTGAAAAATTTCATCTTCGATCTCCATAAATATAAATATATCTTTTTAACTAGGAAAATAAGAAGTAAAAAGAGGAAAGTTTTACTGTGTCCTGACGGTAACAGGGAAAGTCTACCTCGGTCTCAGCTCTGTCCTTCTCTGCTCTCTCTTCCCCATTATTGCCGGTTTTCTCCTCTTCGCCGCTCTTTGCTGCCTCATCGCCTTCCGCCGCCGCCGCCGGATCTCTCTCAGTCGCGAGTGGTTCGGTTCGGATGGTTCAGCCTCGAACCGAACCGTGACGAACCGATATAACCGCCGCCACTCACGCGAAGCTTATGCCCTCAATTGGATTGTGGGAACGAATTAGGGCACACATTCTTTGCTCTTTCCCTCTCCTTGGTGCATTTCCTTCTTCTCACCGCTTCTTTCAACAGATATATATATATCTGATGACACAGTTCTGACTCCAACACACCTCCGCGTGGTGCTCTGTGGTCTCTTTTTGAATCGATAGCGGCACGTAGCAACTCCCAAGTATTCGTCTTCTTTTCCCCCTCTTTTGTGAGGTTTCGCCTTCACGTCTTACGTTCTTGATAGTTGATCAAGCTTGATATCTGTTCTTTTATATGTTTTATCGATTAAACTTATAGATTAGGTGTTATTTTTTTTCCTTTCTCTTGTGAGTTTTGATCTTCTTACTACCCATGTCGCCATTTTGCTAATTGAACTGGAAATATTTCTGTTCTTTTATATTTTTTTACCGATTAAACTGATAGATCTGTTTCTTGTTTAATTATTCTTTTGTATGTTTCTATAGAATCTTTCTTCGCCATTTTATGACCACCCTTGTCGCCATCTTACTGGAACTAGGCCTTCATCTCTATTCTTGGCAAGTTTTCATTCTTTGTTGCAATTAGATTTATAGATGGAGTGTTTCTATGGGTAGCAACGTCCGATTGGGGATAGTTTCCAATTGATATAAATAGCCCCTTCTTAAGAAACTTGTTTACGGTTGGAGAAACCTAAAATTGGTGTAAAAATCAAGAACCTCCCCTTTTTCCTTTTCGGTGGCGGTCCCAGCAGGGGCCGGGGCTGGGAAAGAACAAAAGAAAAAAAATGGAATATACGAATACAAGATCAAAGATAGCACAAAACAACAAAAAGAGTACATAAATTGATCAAATGGGTGTTTCAGAAAGAAGAGAACAGTAAGGAATGGAAATTGTTGGGCAATAAAGAAGTACTGAAGCAAGAGAGGCGAAAGAGGGAAAATAAGAGGTTGGAAGATGGGGAATAAAAAATGGCAGAATGAGAGGAGAGTTGAGTTAGAAAGTTGTAGATAGTAATGGAATTATGTTCGATTAATTTTATTTGCTCTATGTTGAGATAAATGCATGGGCTCCTACTATTCTTGATCTATTGCAAACTAGAGGGCTATAGACTCATGTTGTAAACGAACCACTTAGTTAAATTCCCATTTGATTAAACTTTCCTTTTTTAGTTCAATTTTTTTGAAATGTATTCATTTCCTCATCATTTCTTGACTATAGATTGAACTTCTCTTAAAAGAACGCTTCAATTCTTAGCTCATTACAAAACAAAAGTAAGTTTTTTAGTTTTCCAAATTCGGCTTGGATCTTAAAAAAAAGTATAATACGTAGATAACAAAACAAATAAATTTATAGGTAGAGGTGGTGTTTAGAATATTAATATTTATAAACCAAAAACATAAAATGAAATGGTTATCAAATGGGACATAAGATGGATAGAAAATGTCATACTGGTGAAATTTTCTCTTTCAATAATTGCACTAATGGAAGGTTTTTTCCTATGAAATTTCTATACTTAATAAATCATGGTTTCATTGACAGGCGTCTGGTGCTACACATCAAGCAATCAAAACAGAATGGGAGTTGGAAATGTGTGGATAAATTTTTGGGTTGTACTTAATCAGATCATCGAACGTGTTACTAGTTTCTTTAGGAGATGCGCCTTCAATGTTCTATCAATGGGTTCAATTCCCATTCATGTTGCTTTCATCATGGATGGGAATAGGAGATTTGCAAAGAAAAAAAAGTTGGCAGAAGGGGCTGGCCATAGGTTTGGGTATTTGTCTTTGGTGTCCATGCTCAAGTACTGCTTTGAATTTGGTGTGAAGTACGTGACGATCTACGCCTTCAGCATCGATAATTTTCAAAGAAGTCCAGAAGAAGTTCAAAGTGTGATGGATCTGATGTTGGAAAAAGTTGAATTGTTGATTAGAGAAGAAAGCCTTGTGAATCAATATGGAGTTAGACTTCACTTCTTAGGAAACTTAGGTATGTTGAGTGAACCCGTCAGGAAAGCGCTTGAAAAAGCGGCGATAGCCACAAGCAACAATAACAGAGCAGTACTTTCTATCTGTGTTGCTTACGCTTCCACTGATGAAATTGTTCGTGCCGTTGAAAAGTCTTGTGAAGAGAAATGGGATGAGATGAATTTGAAAAGTGCAAATGGAGAAGGAAATGATTTAGGCAAAGAGTTAGTAATGGCTGAAAATGGTGAGAACTTCATAACATTAGCTGATGTTGAGAAGCATATGTATACCACGGTTACTCCCGAACCCGATATGCTAATCCGCACGTCTGGAGAGGCCCGCTTGAGCAATTTCCTTTTGTGGCAGACCTCTTCATGTTATTTGTATTCTCCCTCAGTACTTTGGCCAGAAATTAATTTTTGGCATTTTCTGTGGGCAATCTTGAATTTTCAAAGAAACAATCTTCGTTTGGTAAAGAAAAGGAAACAGTTATAATCTTGAAAGAGCAGAATTAACTTTTGGCATTTGCTGTGGCCAATCTTGAATATTCAAAGAAACTATCTTCATTTGGTAAAGAAAAGGTAACAGTTGTAGTCTTGTATGAGGATTCGTTCGTAATTGTCTCCATAAGGAAATAGATTTGATTAAATATCGAGGTTCATTCCTTTTCCCCTTCGTATTATTAAGTTATAGTACTCAGTGTAGCTCCATTATGTGTTGTTTTGGAACACTTCTTGTATATGTTGTGTATGAGATTCAAAAATTTATGGTAGTTTGCTTGGACACTGTCTAAAGAATAGGTATCCTGAATTACAATTGATATGAAATGTGAATCAGCTCATTTTGTTACTGAAATTGGTTCATTTAGTTGGCTGCTTCTGCATTTTTGTTGCTGAAAGCCTTCAAGGGTTGTCATGTTTAGTCCTTTTTAGAAAGGCTACATGGGTCGTGGGACGTTGATTCGAACCTCGTAAGCACTTAGAAAAATTTTGGGTCATATTCGATTCGGTCGATAGCATATAAGGATTTGAAGGATTGTTGTAACAGACATTAGTATTTATTAGATTGTTTTCCAAAGAGATTGTTTGAACCATTTTTTTCATTCAAATAGGCTGTGTTTGTGCATTTACTGAAGTTTGCAAATGGTATTATGGTCTCTCCTGCTATAGGGAACACATTTAGAAGAGGAACTAACAGCAGAGGATGGCCTTTGAAGGGTTCTTGCATGATGACCAAGACCCACTCGGAGGGAAGACACCATATTTACTTGCTATGAACCTATGTTATAAAGCTAACCATTCTCGAAAACGTCCTTGGAATTTGTAGGCAATGTTTGAAAGCATTTCTGTCAGTTCACTCAAAATTTACATGTTTGCAAGTAATATAAAAATTTGGAAGTACATAGAAGGATAAGGGGAGATGTTTTCACACTTATAAGGAATGTTTTGTTTCCCTCTCTAATCGATGTGGAATCTTACAATTCACCCTTCTTGGAGTCCTAGCGTCCTCGCTGGCACACCATCCGGTGTTTGACTCTAATACTATTTGTAATAGCTCAAGCTCATCGCTAACAAATATTATCAGATGAACATAACTCTTCACTTCATAATGGTATAATATTGTCCACTTTGAGCATAAATTCTCATAGATTTGTTTTAGGCTTCCTCAAAAGGCCTCAAACTAGAGAGTATTCTTTTATTATTAACTTATGATCATTCCTAAATTAGCCGATATTAGACTTTCATCCAACACTCCCTCGAACAAAGTACACCTCCCCTTAATTGAGGTTCGACTCCTTTTCTCTTGGAGTCTTAATCATTTTTTTACTATGCCTTCAAAGAGCCTTGTCTCCTTTTTTTTCTTTTGGAGTCCTTTATGCCTTGTCTCCTTTTTTATCTTTTGGAGTCCTTTGTTCGACATTTGAGAATTCTATTGACATAACTAAGTTTAAGACATGACTTTGATACTATGTTAAATAAACATGACTCTCCACAATAGTAAGATATTGTCCACTTTGAGCATAAGCTCTCGTCGCTTTGCTTTAGGCTTCCTCTCAAAATTTGAAAAAATGTTCTACCAAAAGATTTCACCTTTATTCTTGCACTGGGAATAATAAATCAAGAGATAAAGCTGAGTGTGAGATTTCATAAGAGAGAGAGAGAGAGAAAGCTCTGCAGCCTTGTTCATTAGCAAGGTTGGAACCAATTCTGTAGTGCATTGGTGGGCTTGAAAACATCCCATTATTTAGTTACACAACATAACATCAAAATTGCAATTACAAAAGATTGTGCTGGAAAGTTCCAACTCATATCATCCAAACATACACAACCCCTCAGTAAGATATGATGAGCAGCAGCATATTTACATATGTAAAGTGAATCAGAGACAGGTCAAAGAACAACTGATGAACTATAGCAGCTGCAAAATCAGCCATCAATTCCAAAATCTGAACAGTTTCGACTGGCATTACATTTTTACAACCAGATGGCTTCCAAAAATGGAGTGACTAGTTCGTCTGCTCCCTAATTATTTTAATAGCACCTTCATAAATAATGCAACCTAACGCTAAAACATATCAAGAACACAGAAGAAGGAAGAGATACTTTTATCTTGATTTAATCTTAGTAGAAAGAGCTAGCTCCACTACAGTTAAGTTCTGGATGGTAAAATTCCAAAACCTGGTCGAGCAGTAAATCAAATATATTGCCTTCATTCAGTAATAACTGGACTCTTGTGGACATTCAGAAGTCTTTAAAGACGGGTAGATGGTTACTTTCCTGGCGTTTACAGGAATCCGCTTCCATTAGAATCAGCATTAGGATGGAATGGAGATGAGAGCTCCCCTGAATGAGGTGACTTGTGAGATTTTAGATGCCTTGGGGAAGCAGAATATGAATCGCCGGAACTGGATGTAGAATACATCGACGACGTTGGCAGTCCATGGATCCTCGGTAATCCCGTTGGATCGGCACCCACATTGTATCCCTTTTCAACTGTTTCAGCCTCCAAAGGTAATTCATCCAGTGTCTGCAATCAATGAAAAGATGATATATTCATAGAACTTCATTCATGCTAATGTCACGATCAAACAGCAAACTGAACTGAACAGGTTACTTCAATAAAATTTGTTCTTTAGTCGTCAATCTTCTCAATATTTACCATCTGGCGACTCTTGGCATTTTTTGTTCGATGAACGATTTCATCTTGTTATGATAATTATGAATTCCTCTGTCTAGATGCTTTATAACCCCTACCCCTTTTGTACCTTGTGAGATTCATCCTACCTATTATGTCATGTGACCATTTTTTTTTTCTCGTTCTTTTGCATCCTTGCATTTATCTGCATACCCTTGTTGTACTCGTCATCCAATCGGTTACTTTATTTTATGCTATTTTAACGCTGATTAGTTTCCAGCATGAAAGATCTTTCATCATATCAAGATGCAAGCATTGCCACGAGCAGGAAAACCATACCCGAAAAGCCTGCTGAAGTACACGAAGGGTTTCCCTAGTACGCTTTCTCTTCATTGCCACTTCATCAGGCTCCTGCAACATCTCTTCAAACAGGTTCTCTCTGTTTGACAACATTACACCAAAAAAAAAAAAAAAAAAAACATCTCTTCAGGAAGTTCTAAAGAAACAAGATCAGGCATCAATTGAGATAATAAAAGAAAGATACGTACCGGTAGAGTTTTTTGATGAATACATTGTGCAGATCTCGTTTGGTATGGTTTACCTGAATCAAACCAACCAAAATATAAGCAATAAATATGACTATATTTAGTTAAGACAGCATGTTCTTAGACTGGAACCAAAGAACAAGAACAAAAATAGGCAGAAAGTAAATATATATATCACTAGGTAGGTAAAGTACGGCAAAACATGTCATTAACTTGTCTAATCAACTATGCTCCTGACGAATTCGAGTTACCCACTCGGCCATGCTCAAAAGTGAATGCCGTTCGAAGGGGTAAGTATACCTATTGCAAGTTCATTGGTTGGATTGTAGGGCTGCTAAGTTAGATTATCAGTTGTCTCATAAACTTGTGCATCGATTCATTTGAAAATCCAAAGACTACATACCAAATCCAACCTACAATGGGATCCACACCGTCTGCAAACTTAAGAACCTCCTCCATGAGCTCTTTAATTAAGCTTGAAGCTCAACTAAGTCCACATATCTGTCAAGTTGCCACCAGATATAAACAAGAGGACACTGCCAGAGAAAATAAGCTCTGTCTCCACTACCTCCTTACAACACTCAGACTTCTGCCTTCCATCCATCACATTTTCCACGACTCAGTGTTAGGTGGGCACCCATGGTTTTAATAAACCTATTAAAAGCTGACTAGGGAATGATGTTAAAAAGTGCCTAATCTGGCAAAGGAACAAGACAGAGGCAGTGACATCAGTGATGGGCCTTCTTTAGCCCCTTCAAATTCCTGATAAAGTCTAAAGATGGGGCTATGGAATTCATTGAAGAGCTCCTAAATTCTGCCGCTTTGATGCAATTTTGGTGGTAAAGAAGTCGCAAGCATTTTAAGGAAGTGGTTCGACTACACGGTTTTTCTCGATCAGTCATTTCAAATAGAGATAAATTTATGTGAGCCATTTTTGGATGGAGATATTTCAATTACAGGGGACTCAGCTCCAACGTAAAACAACATTCCACCAACAAACAGATGGACAGTCAGAGATCGAAAACAAGTGTTTTGAAACATGTTTGCACTGTTTTTTGTGGTCAGCATCCTCGCGAATGGGGTGTGGCAATTGTGGGCAGAGTATTGGTACAACACCACATACCATATTTTCATCAACATGACTCCTTAAAGTCACCCCTAACCCCAATACGCCCTTACTTTCAATATATTCCTTACGTACTCTCATAAAATCTGACAAAACAGAAATTCTAAATTCATACAGAGATATTAGATCGGGATACTACACAAAACAAACTGAATAAGAGTCCATCTACCTCCCTTGGAAAAGAATGCATTTTTCCAAGAAACCAAAAGCTATTGGACCATATCCAGAACAGAGTTCCAAGACAAGGCCAGTTTGGGGTTATGACCCAAAGACACTCCTAAAGATAGGTAAAGTATCCACATCACAACCACTCATGGAGCCCTACCAGCTAATCTTTACAGACTCGTAATTGATGCCTATGACTAGGCTCTTGCTTGATAACAGGGCATGATCTCGAAGAAAGAGAGAATATGGTTAACGTTAACAATGAACTCCTCCTTAACAAGCAAAAAAAAATCGTATAGTCAGAAAAATAAAGATGGAGTCTATCCTACCCACTAGAAACCCTTTAATGGCCCCCTTATCCACTCCGAAAGAGCGTAACCATCAAGACAGAAAGAAGAGCATAACTAAATGTAATTCTAAATCCATGATCTCAACTCACAAGTCTAGTCCTCAACCGCCTCGTTGGCAACAAGGATGTGATCCAAGATTTTCCTCCCCACAATTAATGCCTCCTGTGGCTCTGAGACCGTACTTGATAAAACCTATCTATTAAACCCTAAACTTAACAATAATATACATGTCTATTATCAACTTGATTCATGGAACACAATTCTTTGTTCAAGAAATAAGATCAAAGAGATGCATTTAATGAATTTATAACAAGAAAGCAAACAGTTAGGTTTTTCATGGCTTCCAGTACTTAATTTAAGAAAAATATGATACGAACTAGCAGTATTAATAAAAATTTTAACATACCAGGAAGTTCATGATGGCCTTAGGTACATAGTCCTCTATATTCTTCCTAACAATGTCATAGTAGGATCTCAATAGCAGTTTAGTTATAGCAATTTCAATGGCCTCCTGCTCCGTAAGGCTTTCTGAGGGCCTCAAGACAGCTGGTGGCTAAAACAACACAAAACGTGTTAGCCAGGTTAAATCAAGTAAGGCAGACATACAAATCAGTAGACTTGATTATGGTATTACGACTGACCTCTCTCAAGTGGATCATTGAGAAAGATTGTTCCACACTATGCAAAGGCTCGCCAAATGATTTTTTTGATGAATTTTCTTTAACAGGACTATGGTTATCACTGCTATTACTGCCAAAAATAGACGAAATCCCCCAACTGGAACTCCCTGCGCCTCCTGGTAAGTTACAGAAGGATGCAATCATTCACGTAAACGAGAGAAATTCATACATACTAATGAGAAAAATGCAGAAAGTAGTTAATAGATCAATCGATATAGGCCATTATGCAGTTAATGCACATCAATAAGAGTACTGTTGTTTACCAAGCATAGAATCAGCTATTTTGAATAAATTGATGGTT